TTCTGTGACTCGTGTATAGTATCTTGGCCTTCATTTCTCTTGAAATCACAGTTCTGTCCCATTTCAGTGGTTGAAACTTAGAGTATCCTACACACTGACTGTCCCGTAACTTGTGTTGGTGATTATTGCTCACAGAATCTACCATGCTGTTAGTAGTTTAACAATGTTAATACCACTTTCTAGTTCCAGTACTTTTCTTTCTATAAAACTAATATTTCTGCTACTTCTGTCCACATTTTTATTCCCATATAATATTGTAAAATCTTAGGTAAGTAACACTCAGAGGTGTATTTTTATATGTATTTACTAACGGGTTTTGAATGTTGCATATAATATGCCCTATTTTTGACAACTTATTAGTCAAAGTTTCCACATCAATGATGTCTGAAATTCCAGCTGCAATTTCTGCTCCCTCTAAAATGATATCCCTGAACCCTCTTGGTTTGCTGTACTCAGTCATAGGGAATCCATTTCTGGGTCAACGCTACAAATGTGTCTTTAAGGAAAGGAGTGTATCTGTTCTGTCTTGGAAAAGTCAAAGTAAATGCTTTGTTCACAGTAATATGCACTCTATTAATTTGCTGCTACTGAGCAGTATCTTATATTCCCCAAACTGTGAATTGCCTCTAAGCCGGAGTCTTTGGTTTAAAAATTTAAACAACAGCAACAACCAAACTCTGTGAACTAAACATGTTTGACCTTGTTTTTTTGTTTGTTTCAGTTTCTCCTTCACTTCTGGCTTTCACATTTGGTTTAACCATCTCTGGTCTTTTCCACTCGCATTTCAGTTGGTGTGGTTGTTCAGGTTCCATCACAATTGTTACAGGTTAGTTTGATTTTTAGCCGAGTAAGTAGAAATAAAATATCCAAGTTAAATTTGTATGCTGCTTCAAGCCCCCGTAATACATCCCCTTAAAATCAGAGACATTTTCTAAAATCATAAGATCAATTTTAGCATCAGGGAACATAGATGCTATTGTTTAGCCTTCACACTTGTCTCCCGTGATTTTAAAGTAGTGGAGACATGTATCTAATGTTTTCATGATCTTTGATACAAAAGAGCTTTCCATTGCCACTAGAGGTAGGGTCTATTATCAACAAAAAGCAGGGAGCTTGCTACTCCCTTGTAACACAAATAGTAATAATTTTGAACCTAATGTAATTATTAATAAAAAAAAAACAACATGCAAACTTCACTCATACAAAGCCTAATAGTTAATTTATGCTTCTGCTTTTAATAGCCTTTCCACTGGCTATGATCCTGGTGAGACTTCCTGTATGCCTTACTATTACATTTTAGTAGCTACATCTATAACACAACATTCTTGATTTTTCGTAACTTATTTACCTTCCCATAATTAAAAGTGAAACTGGAACTACTTAGGTATTTTTCCATTCTGGAGTTTTACTTGATATGCGTAAGGTCCTGCTTTATTTATAATTGGAACTAGTACATCCCATTTACAGTTTATACTTGCATACTGTGTATACTTGCATAGAAAACATGGAATATTACTTTCCATCCTCTTTGCCATTCTGCAGAGCAGTGGTTTATTTTTTGTTTATCAGTTCATTGAGCATTCCTTCCCAGTTGAGTTGCTATAACACCATTAACCTCTTCCCAGTGTTTACATAGGGTCCATTCTTCAGTTAAAACATCAGGCAGTCTTTTTTCTCCCAGGCATGGCTCTAACTCACATGAACTTGTGAGAAGCTGTTGTGGCTCACAGGTTGTTAAAATTACAAGATGATGCAATATCCCAAACTTTTCTGTAATTTTTCACCATTTTGCCTAGTGCTATTTTTATGGTCCCATCGGGTCATTCAATTTAACTTGAGCTGGGAGTTCCCAGCAATGTGGAACCTTTCTTTTCTTCCCAGGCCTTGACAGAATTCCTTGATGATTTGCCCTGGAAAATACGTTCCTTGCTCCAAATCAATTTACTGGTTTAAATCCCACCTGGAAAATACAACATTAAATGCCTACACTGTGGTAAACTTGGCTGGAGCTTTCTTTACTGGAACTACCTCAACCCATTTTGTCAGTGGATACTTAATCCCAGTTTGCATGATAGATGGGACTACATGTGGTCTAGTGTAGTCTGTATCCTAGCCTATGGTTCATGAATTCTCTAATGTTTTAATGTTGTTTTTCTCTTAGTGGGGGTATTCACCACAGCACAAGTTGAGCAATTATCATGGAGTCATAGAATAGCTTGGGTTGGAATGGACCTTTAAGGGTCATCTAGTCCCACCCCCCTGCAGTGATGTACTTGTCTGTCTTCACGTTCGGCCAACTAGCTATCTTCTAATACTGCCTTTTGCATTCAAGCAACCCCTATTTGATCTTGTTCACATGCCTGTTGAAACAACGCTGCTTGAAGGGTATATAATGCTATCCATCTACAAGTGTTTGTTATCTGGCCACATTACTCTCTCTATGCTTCACCTGTCTACTAGCTTCTATAGTAATCGCCCCTCAATTTCCTCATTTCCATGTTGTAAAGTGGCTGGGTCTTTGATATCTTGCTTTGTATGATTTTCTTTGTTTTGTTTTCAAAATGTGTGTTTCTTCAAATGTTAGGTCTGCTGGGTCCACCACAACTTTGGCAAGGGCATCTGCTTGACTATTCCAATACTGCTGGTTCTGTATTTTTCCTTGTGGTATACTTTTACATGGCCTGCATATTTTTTCCCCTCTCTGCTTTTTTTAAGCTGGGTTCTGGATTTGCTTTCCATGATTGATAGGCTACCAGATTTCCATTTTGTGTTTGTAGGTCATCTTTCTGCTGTGTTGGTAGCTAAATGGTTAAAGCTTGATCTATCCGGTCTGAAACGATGTACAAAGCCAGATCATTTCCTGCAGGTTCCTCTTTTAACATTGCTAGCAGAGCTTGTAGCTCTGCTGCTTGTGCAGAGCGAAGGCAGGCAGCTCTTTAGTTTTTCACAGGGGTTGCAGCATATCTAATAGAGGATTTTCCATCCTTTTGATAAAAACTGGACCCATCTGTGAACGTGACTGAATATCCTGTGACACGAAGTCAGCAACGAAGCTTTTATCTGGTGCGAGACCATAAACAGGTAAAGGGCACTTATGTTCTTTTTCAGTGGTTAAAAACCAGATAGGGCTGGTGATAAAATCTTATCATCTTCTACAGAATGATTATGTTTTTTGTGTACATGTTGTGTACATGTGATATGTACTACTGCAAAACAGCCTGTAGTGATGTATTCCCAAAGCTCATTGCCTATGCCAGTGCTAAACCTGGCTTTTAATATGGTATGCAGTTCTTTCCCACTGATCTTAAGTCTCTCAAAGCAAAGGCTGTAACTTGCATCTTATTTCTGTGTGCTTGAAATAACACGGTCCCAAGGTCTAGATTGGTAGTGGCCAGCTGAATGTGAAACGGCTACAAGAATCTGGCCATCTGATCACCAGGGTTTGGACTAGTGAAGTTTTGCTTCTTTCTTTCTTTCTTTCCGTTCTTGTTTGTGAGATTTCTGCACTAATTTGATTAGTGGTTTACCGATTTCTGCAAAAGTAAGGATATTCTTACAAAAAAAGTAAGCAATTCCAAAACTGAATCTAATACAATTATTACTGTGGGGGCATGTACGCTCATGGTCAGTCCTATCCTTTGGTGATCCCAGCATCACCTTCCCTTCCTGACCTAAAACTATTTCTGCATTTTTCACTTCAGGTTGTACCAAATGAGTTTTGTCATGATTAGCTTTAAAGCCTGTGCTTCAAGTAATGTTGATTACTTCTTGGGTATATTCCTGGACCATAAAAAATTCAGTTTTTCCATGTACCAACACATCTGTGTATGATATGACATAACACTTTTTGATGGTAATTCATAAACATTTGATAAATTTGATGTGAAAGTTGTGAGGTACATGGATAAAATAATATTGCTTTCTGTCATGGGTAAATGCCTGGTTTTACCAGTTTTGCTAGTGGAATTGCAAGGAAAACGCTGGCTAAGTCAATAACAAAAAATCGGTGAGATATTCTGCTTAGTGCTACAAGAATTTCAGGCATCTTTCCACCGCAAACAACCCGAGAGGTGGCTACCTTATTTAAGTGTTAAAAATCCCCTTTTAGGCTTTTTTCTTTGCTTTTAACCCTGGACAAAATTGGATGTCTCTGTACTAGAACCTCATTTTCCAGTCAACTTGTTGATGGTGGGTTGGAGTCCTTCCTCTGCTTCTTGCGGGTCTTGATATTGGTTTTTTGGGAAGGAGGATCTGGACGTTCACTTAATACACAACTTCTATTTTTCCACATTTTAACTTACAGACACACATAACTTCAGGAAATTCTGTTACCCAAATATCCACTGTTTTTCTTCCTCCGGATTCTTAATAACAAAGCATCAATGACTTGCAGGAATCACTCCACCCTCACCTCCTACTGGTCAGCCCCTATTTCACAAACATCCGTAGCAAAATCTGCAGCTAGTCCATTTTATTTCAGCAAGGCTTTGCCAATTATTCCCTGCTGTTTGTAAGAGGGATCCTCCCATTCCTACACTCAAGAAGGAACTCCTGAACTTGGCAGCTATTTAACTGCAGACAGAGATCTTAATATGGGTTCTTGAACATCCTTTCATACATTTAATACAAGTTTTATCATTTTTACACTTTCTTGAGTTCCAGCTGGAACCAATATTTATTGAAGAGTGTTTATCGACACCGTGGTATGAATTTCCATTGTAGCACTAGTGGTAGTTAATGTTCTTTCCCTGACCACCCAGCACTAATATTGTTATTGGCAATTTGCATTGGTTATATTGTAATTTCACCACTAGACCAGGGGCTGGTAGACAGCAGTGTCCCTAGTCTTTGTTACTGAGAGGGAGAGGTGGTGCCTGAGGGCTGCACCGAGAGGGACCTGTTACGTTATGTAGTTTTCATTCCTCCTCCTCATCTTTTTTCTTTAGCTTGACAAAACAAGGCAGTAGGGAATTTATGGATTCTATCCCAGTTTAACATACCTTTGCCTCTTTTCCTCAAATTTTGCCAAGTTGTTTTGCTGCAGTCCCATGGGTGTTTTTATCATGTTCTCCAAGGATCTTTTGCAGTTATTGTTACACCTCTTTTTACACAATGAGCCAAACCCATACTGGGGACTGTTTTCCCTTTTCTGTTCCTTTTGATCTTTATTTTTAAATGGAGCCTGTGGGTCCTTTATGACCATGTTTCTGAAAATTACAGTATGTGCAGACCTTCTGTCAGAACCACAGGACTGAGATTTCCTTGCATTCCCTCTTACCTTTGTTACCTTGCCCACTTACTGAAGCTGAGTTTGCAGCTCCTCCCATTGGATTTCTGCTTGATTCACAGGTCTCTTGCTGACTGAACCCGTGTACCACTGCTACTTTAAAGGCATAGTGGTTCTACTAAATTAATCATATACTTCACTGGATGCCAGTCCCGACAATTTTTCCAGGATTCAGATGATTTTACATTCTCATAGCATTCTTCTAGGTGGAATAACCTGCTAGCCAAATCTCCTTTCAGTGCTCAGGTAACTGTTATGAGACATCTATCTACTAAGTTTCTTACAGGAGGTTCTTCTTGCATTGTAGGTGATAATCATACTCCACTCTGAGGCTGTGTTTTTAAGGGCTGTGCAATCTTCACTAGTCAAGGAAAGCTAATTCTCAAGGCCTGCAAGCCCCATTGTACAAGTTTCTGAATTCAGTGGCCTCAAGGTTTAAGTGATTGCTCTTGCTTGCTCTGCAGTCAGGTCAGTTACTTTTGTCACAATCTCCCAGCTTCTAGGAGCAACGCAACCAAGCAGGAGTATCCAGTGCTGAGAGTTCTGTTTTTATCTCTGTTTTGGTTGTAACTGCATAACTGGGTCATAGAAGCGTGTTTTACTCTTACATTAACATGAATTTTCAGAATAGTTGAGGACTGTGTTTCGCATATATCCCTGTTTTATTTTGTATAGAGAAATGTTAACAAATTCAGTATGTGTAATTGGCACTTGTGTCCTGGGTGACTGCTGTTGAAGTGCAAGGGCTCGCTGTGCAGAAATCCGTCTGTACAGAATAGCTTTCAGGATCTGTCTTCAAGTTAGTAAATGGTTCACTGCAAAAGCTATGAGGTAAACCTAGCAATCAGAAACTGAGGATCTACTTTTAAACATCATTAGACTAATATTATATACCCAGATCAAGAGAAAGAAAAAAGTCTGACTTTTTATCATAATCTAGATCAAAGTTGATGCACAACAGAGGGTTTTGGTAACATATGCCATTATTTCTAGTCATATTTTGCTGGTATAGAAGATATATGTACACGTATTTATTTTTTCTGTTTTTCACCCCTTTCTTTTTCCATAAGTATTCATGTAAATATACATGAAGAAGAAAGGGGGGGGTTCATACGTGAACAACGTCATTATTGCTTTCCTCTGTTTCCTGTCATGGTTAAACACTAATGTATGACTCATCTGATATGGCGTGACAGTTAGAGTCCTTATCTATATCCATGTGATCCATTGGGAGGAGATCAGGTTACTCAATTTACCATTATTGGAATAAGCCACTGCTGTTGATATTGTGCTAGCACAAAGGATGTTTTGATCACTACCATAGTGGTGACACATAAAAAGATACAGGATAATAACTTCTACCCATTCTTGGGATTAAAATATTTATGGGGCACATTTTACTATGAAATCTCGGAGTAAGCATTGTTGTGCTTGTCTTCACCCTCTTGTGAGCCAGAGGAAATTATCAGAGTTCACTGGAACAAGGTGAACTCTGTAAGAAATCTGTAACAAATGAAGTGTGATCAACCAATCTAATTCCCAGTGTATGAAAAGACTGCAGATGCACTCATGATGCTATAAACTTATTTTCATTTTTAGGCTTTACAGAAGCAAGTACATACACTTCCTCCGAGAGACCTACCACTCAAATAGTTCCGGCACTAGAAATATGAACAGAGGTAGAAATTGATTAGGAAAGTAGGTGTCCTGTGAAGTGACCCACCAGACCAGTATGCAGAAAGAGTATTTGTCACAGATACATTTGGGACAAGATGAAGTACCACATTTCAAATAATTTTTTTTTTCTTCTAAACATACAATTTCATATGCACATTAGATTTGGACTATCCAACTGGTGTGTGAGAAATTCTTTCTGGTCCTGTCACATGAAGTAATAGACATCTTTCTTTGCTAATGTATTGCCAAGATGTTCCATGAATAACTTAGGCAGATATGTTCTCCTCCCTCATGGACGCCATACCATGGAATCAGTTTTGGTTATAGAACTTGGCCTTTTTGTGGCCACACCTACTTGTAACTAACAACTCAGTGGACCTCTTCATGAACTGATTGCCAGCTGTGAATGACCACTGGAGACTTAATTTATCTTCTTTAGGATGTGGGATAACCTAGCAGTGTATCTGTCCCCAGACACCATGGAAAATGCTACAATGTCTTCTGCAAATGGCCCATGACGTGGAATCACTACCAGATAATTTCCTCTAGTGGTTAAATAAAAGGCTTTGTTTGCATGCCACCAAGTCCCATAGATTCTCATCAGCGGTAGCCTAAACCAGATCCATTTTCTAAATTCAGTTCTGCTTCATAGTATTGACTATACAAGGAACCCCAGAGGATACTCACATCGAGGAATCCCTGTAGTGTTTAATAACCATACCTTGCCCATAGGGGGAACCTGTGGATCCTTAGGAGGTGGGCTTTGGGATCTCTAATTTCTACTGGAACAGCATTGCTAGTGTGCCAGGTGCAGACACTGAATACAAGGGATATAGGCCTTTTCTTACAGTAGCAGGTATCTCGGTCTGACTACATGCTCAAAGGAGCTTATGAGAGTTGCTTCCTTGAACATTGTTCCATACTGACAAAATCCCTTGCTTTCAGTGAATGGTGACATGGAAAACAGGGCTGCTCTGAATTTTGTCAGGATGAGCTGTTAATCATTATTTGTTGCTGACTATAAAAAGCAATAAAGGAATTACATTTAGTGTCATGACCCTTGCACAGGGTCAAGCTCATTGTGTGCAAGCAGAATGTAAACTGGGCAGAGGTAGTGACTCAGGAGTGAGTCAGAAAGGAGGAAGTCTAGAGTGCAAGGGGTGAAGAAACTGGAATATGAGCAGAGGTCACTGCATTCCTTCAATTATATCTCATGGTTTAAGGGTCCCCGCGGACATGAACTTTTTGTGGAGCCACCCCCCAGTCCTTCTGGCCCTGACCTACAGCCTTCAGCTCCCATTCTGTCTGGAAAGTAGACAAGAAATCATACTGTGATTTCGCAGTCCATACAAGGAAGGGTAGAAAGCATTGGGGAAGACCTCTGAGGCTTGCTGATTAGTTAAATACTTTGTATTGGTTCTTGCTGCAGTTTATTGAGCAGAAAGATCTCTGTTTACTAATATTACTCTATGAGTTTGGCCATGCTTAGCACTTCTTAAATTTCATTGATCATGTTGCTGTTTAATATGGTATGTTACTTTATACAAAGTTTATGCTTAGAAATGAGTAGGAAATAAGAAAGAAGAAAGATGAAATTTGGATTTTCAAGGCAGAATTCTAATAAATGAAAGTTTCAGTGGGAAATGTATGGGAAAAGGTTGATATGGACAATATTTGGGAGTACAGCAATGACCTTTCTTGGAATCAGAATAAATTTTAATGATGTTATCATGTGCCAGCTTGTCAGAACTGGAGTCAGTTTCAACTGCAAAGAAAGAACAGTGAAAAATGGTGTTTTGAATAGGTGAGAAATTAGTTTTAGTTTAGAATACTGGTATAAATTTAGGTAAAATAGTAGCATAGATACAAACAAAATTATATGAAGCATTATAATACTGTACCCTATGGTGGCTGCTTAATAAATATATGAAGTAGTTGCTGAGAAGATTATGAAATGTTTTTTAGGAGTTTTTCTGGGACTGGCGCTCATTTAGATTTGTACATAGCAGAGTTGTCAAGGAGACAGAATGTTTTACTGCCTTGGGAAGACAACTTTTCTGTCCTTCAAAAAGCATGAAATGTACAGGGTAAAGTAGATCAGCTGTCAAAAGCTGATGTCTAAATGTTGTGCAGCTGTCCCTCTCTGAATGATGTTTGGCCAAAAATGAGGCAACCTGAATTGTGTTCACTGGTGACTTGAGAGCCCGTGGCTTGTAAAAGAGTTGATCTGTCTGGTAGTGTGAGAATAGATTTATCGTAATTCTTGCAGACTAGAAACCAGAATAAGTTATGAGTCTTGGGCATTTCTGGGTCTCTGTGAAGAAAACTTTTCTCTGTATCAAAGATAAGCTACACTCCATTTTTTTTAAATAAAAAAAAATATTCTGAGAGGAAAAATTCCTTTATTCCTAAGAAACATTAGCTATTTTATATTTATCAGTATCTTGTTAACACTTTGTAAAAACATATCTTGTACCCAGGAACTGGATGCAGAAAATGGAAATGATAACTGGTAAACAACCAGTCCACAGGGAGACTAACAGTTGTAGTGAGTAAGATTAGATGTATCTTGCTTGGGATCAATGTAAATGCACTTGCTTTTCCTGATCTCTTTTTCCATCCTCTCTGCCACCAGCTTCAGCTCTTGACAGCCCCTGGACTAAAGATGGCTCAGAACTGCAAGCAAACCAGGACCTTGCACCTGCAAGTGTCAGGAAAGATAAAGAGTATAGCACTTTAGGAAAAGAATTTGTGGAAATAAAGATTAATGAACCCTTATGGAATGAGGGAAATTGAGAGTTAAGAGAAGATATGTATGAATTAATGAGACAGTAGAGCATCTAATCTGGGTCAATAGAATGACTACAGGTAATTGCCTCTTCAGTAACTGTAGCCATAATGTAGCTGGCCACAACATACAGAAATCTGATGTTCTAATCGCTGAAGTCCTGCATGCTGAAAGATTCCTTCAGCCTCTTTGGGCAGGCACATCTTGATATCATAACTGGAATCTTCTTGGTGGATCTACCTGGACTGTTGTCAGGGACACGTTGGTGTTGTAGCATGCAAAGCAGACAGACCTGTGGCGTGTGGCGGTATGTTTCTGGAAGCAGAAGTGGTTGGTAAGAGGAAGCATTACCACTAGTGTCCATGTGTATGGCTATTTAAAAGTTTTGGAGCTTGTGAACAAGAGTGTGTCTGCACTGAATATAATTGCCTGTAGAACCACATTTACCTTA